TCAGCTCCTGGTGTTAAATTCTTTCGTTCTTTGCATAGCTTTGTTTATATCTGTGCAAGCTTTTATGCTGAAAATAAATAGAAGTGCTTTTGCTTATAATTACAACATAAAGGAAATTTTATGAAGGGAGAAAAATTAGGGGTTTTATGAGAGAGAGTGACAGGAGGCTCCGCTGCTTGTTTGGCGATGGCCAGGCGGCAGGGCTAAGAACAGGACGGATCAGGTATTTGTAAAATGTCCCTCGATTTTGGTTTGTCGTGTTTCTTCATGATTAGATTCAGGTCCTGTTTTGGCAGGAATATCTCAGTGTGTCCCGTCAGGAAGAGCCACGTAGTACCTCCTCTTTCCATTTCTGATGGTATCAACTGTGAACACTTGCTTAAGGTAGTGTCCACCAGGGTTCTCCACTGGGAAGTCACTGTTTCATACCTTATAATTAATAAATGTTTTGTAAAGAGATACTTTGATACTATGCAAATATTTTGTTCCACCTTTCCCCCTACTCGTTTCTCTCTGTGATTCGTGCCTGAAACAGGTATGACCATGGAGTGTCTCGTGGTGATGTTCTAATTCAACCATCATTCCTTCTGCACTTATTCACTGGCATTTCACAGCACAGCATTCTCCTTCACACTTCAGTATGGACTCATCTCCATGCTCGATTGATCATTATTTTTTGTGCTGCTTAATTTCTCCCAGATTTGGCCGATGAATGCCCCATCAAACCGGCACTTGTACTCTTTTGACAGGTCCCTGTCATACCCGAGCCATTCTTTCACTTGCTGGCACAGCACTGCGCCAGCTTACCTCTTACTGAGTGCTTGGACAAAATCACAAAGCGTGGCTCAGTGAAGGCAGTCCTGTAGACGGCCAAGACGCTGTGATCCAAAAACGCTACTGATGGTCTTGCCGGATTCAAGGCTAAAGCACAAAGAAATCATAGGAAGGAGACTTCTTTTGCCAATCTTCTGTAAATATTGCTTCTCCTGAATAGGCTTTTGATAAGATTTGGACATAGGCTGATTCAAGATTTTCTTTTCTGGCAAAGCACTATCTAATGTAACTTTCTGATGATGGAAATGTTCTCTATCTGCATCATCCAATAAGGTAGTGACTAAGAACATGTAACTTCTGAGCTCTTAAACTGTGTCTAGGATGACTGAGGAACTAAATTCTTAATTTAAATTAGTTCACCGTAGCTTTCATTTGTATAACCGCCTATGGCTAATGGCTGCCATATTGAACACACAGGTCTAGAGGGAAGGTTTCCTAAGGCATTTATAGAGGATGCATTTAAATATATTCAAAGGGAAATGATGAGATGCAACCCTAAATGATTAAACAGTTGAAGCATTTTGTGGAGTTACTAAACCGAAACCTCTTGGGAAGTTGTATCTATGCATCATGTAAATAGTAGATTATAAAATCACCGTGCCACCCTGAGGCTACTCCTTATTTGTGACGACATCATCACAGCATCAGCTCCTGGGATATTTATCTCTGTGGTCTCTCTTGCAGGGACTGTGTGTGCAGATCACATAAAAGTTGTTTCAAATTGGTAACCTCTGGGGGCAGTGATGGAAGGGAGGGAGGAAAAAACAAGCCCTATTTAATGTTCCCTCAACAACCTAAACTTTACTTAAGATAGACTTTATTCATGAATTGTCTGTATACTTTGTGGAAAGACAAACAGAATTATCTGACCCTGAAGACTTAGGTTGCCTGGCAATAATCTGGAATGGTCCAGAGCCTCCCTCTCTCCCAGCAGGAGGAGCTGTGCCCAAACCCAACTTCTCACAAGGTCAACAGGTGTTGGCAGCAGACAACTAAGTCCCCGAACAGCTGCCATCTAACTCCAGACTGCCTGATACCCAAGCAGACATTGTGTCCCAGTTGGCAAGGCCACTCATGCTGGCTCTATAAAAAGGGAGAGCAACTGAGTAGGGGGAGGGACTTGAGTCCTTCTCTTGGGGTCCAGACCCATATTAGTTCAACTTGCCCCAACTCACATGTCCCTCCGCAGAGCACTGAGATCAGAGACCGCGTGCGTCTGTCTGCTCACGCTCTACTCATGTGTTCCCACCTGTTCTGAAAACTCTCACCTTGTTTGCTCAAGCCCTTTGAGGGATACATTTTTAATAAAATTAATCTCTATTGTCCTCTCAATAGCTGACATCAAGGAAAATCACCAATGAAATGTCAATATGTGATCCTGGAGGAAAGAATGCACTGGAGTGAGATCCGTGGACTAGATGGTAGGACGATTTCTCTGTTAATTTCCTGGTTTTGATGGTGGCCACTTTGCTTGCATAGCAGAATGTTCTGGTTTGTAGGAATTACAAGTGAAAGAATTCAGAGGTGATGGGGATACATCTGGAGAAAACTCTAATTCAAAAAGATACGTGCACCCCTTTGTTCACAGCAGCACTATCTACAACAGCTAAGACATGGACACAACCTAAATGCCCATTGATAGATAACTGGATAAAGAAGATGTGGTACACACACACACACACACAAACACACACTAGAATACTTCTCAGCCATAAGAAGGAATGAAATAATGCCATCTGCAGCAACATGGATGGACCTAGAGATGATCATCCTAAGTGAAGTAAGTCACACAGAGAAAGACAAATATCACAAGATAGCACTTTTATGTGGAATCTAAAGAAATGACACAGATGAACTTATTTACAAGACAGAAACAGACTCACAGACACAGAAAACAAACTTATGGTTACCAGTGGGGAATACCGTGGGCCAGCCAAGCTGACATGGAGACTACTGCAGGGTGTTTTACAGAATTCAAGGAGAAGTTGAACAGAATGGGCATCAGGAGAGATGGGAACCAGGGGAGCCTCAGGGACCCACCGGGCAGCTGGCATGTGGGCCTTTGAGATCATGGTCTTCTGCATTTTGTCCCAGCTCTTTCAGTCTCAGTGACTCAATTTAAATAAAATGAGAGAAAAAATCTGGCCCAGTTTATGCCACAGGCCTTCCCTTAGTCAAATCACCAGAGCCTGGAAGAAAGTCTGGTCCTGAAACTATGCCAGTCAAGATCCACCCCTTGTGGATATGCAATAGTTCTCAGCATAGAGGGGTCCCAAGGAGGCCAGCTATTTCTAAATCCCCCTACTGCATTTCTGTCAGGTAACAGATCATCAAGAAAGACCAATGGCTTATAATTCTGTCTGATGATCACAATCCCCTAAGAAACTTTAAAAATGATAGATGCTCTACCCAACAATTTCCTTATGGGAATCTCAACAAGTATGACCTGGGATTTTTTTTCCCAAAAAACTTATTGGGCGATTATGATGATGGGCCAGAAGGAACGGTGAGCTTTGGCTAAATCAGGTGGTTGGAGGACATTCTTGATAGGTGTGACTTGAACTTCCTTGGAGGGAGCACAGGACGTCATTGGCCTGAAAGATCAAATTCCAAGCAGATCCTTAAAAAGATTCTACAAGTCCTCATAAATTAAACTGCGGTCTGGGCCCAAAAATAGCTGCACAGGAAAGACAAGTGGGCGTGTGAGACAGATTCATCTCTGCAACCTGACTTTCCTGCATGGGTTTGTCTTTGAATTTATCACATTGCTGTCATATCGTGATCAGTTTAATGAATCAACCGAGCTTATGCCTGTGTCAATGGGAACTGCATAACACCCTGGGAGAACTCAGGGCAACTGCACCTTGAATTCAAAGCCTTTAGTGGAACATAGTGATCTCTACCCTATATTATTTGGATTTGATAGCATCTTATAATGGAAATACTGACATTCTGCCAGCAACTAGGAACATAATTTATTTAAATCTTGGCCGAAAATCACTTATCAGTTTTTGATTTGGAAAGATACCTTTTCTTCATTCTTATCGAGAGCAATGGTTTGGAACTTATCTGTACATATTACTGTACTGAAAGGAATAACCGAAAGCTTAGATATACTCTTTGTAAATATTTGCGTTCTGGAGGGTCGAGTTCTCTAAATGTCACTCACACACTTGCATAAACACACACACGCACACACAGCCTACACTCCCCAAATTCCCCACTGAGAAGAAAGAACACCTCTAACCAAACTTACCTCTATCAAACACTTACTAAACCACTTGCTGTGAATAATATGGAATTGAACCTTTTGCAAAATACTTGAATGCCCTTTCAAATTTAATCTGCAGGAAACATAGGGTTTAGAATTTTATAGCACAATGGGGTGAACCAGGGAGTGAAAAGCAATTAAACACTTTCAGATTGCTAACTGTGCACCAGGCACTGTTTTAAGCACTTTTGATGGATTATTTAAACCTCACAATAAGCTTATTAGGCAGGTTCTGTTATTATTGCCACCATTTAAAAGATGAGGAAACCTGGGTACATGGAAATGACTTAATGCACCCAAGTCACACAGGTCATAAGCATGGTGCCTGGATTCAAACCCAGGCAGTCAGGCTCTGGGGCTGTGGAATATATAATAAGAAATAGACTTGGTCTCTGTCCCGGATTCTTGGAATTTCCTGAGTGGTGGGAATGTCTTTTGTCATTCATAAGGTACTCCTTGCCGGCCTATCTAAGTTTATGTTAATGATGTGACGTAGGGTGGAGACCCTACAGAGCCTCAGGACGGGGCTGGTCACCTGAAAGACCAAGTTGTTAGAGGGCTGGAACTTTCACCCCACCCACCAACCTCTGAGAAGGTGACTGGACATCTAGCTCTGCGCAGTCTTTTTTTTTTTTAATTGAAGGATAGTCAGTTTGCAATGTTGGGTTAATTTCTGGCGTACAGCATGGTGATTCAGTTACATATATATATATATTCCTTTTCATATTCTTTTTTATTATAGGCTATTACAAGGTATTGAATATAGTTCCCTGTGCTATACGTTAGGACCTGGCTATTTATCTATTTTATACATAGTAGTTAGTATCTGCAAATTACAAAGTCTTGAATAACAAGATGTGATGCGTTTCCTGGTTGGTAATCATACTGAGCCGTTGGAAGGGTGACACACCAGAGAGTCTGAGGAAACTCTGGACCCTCTACCCTTACACCGTGCCTGTGTATCTCTTCCTTTGGGTTGTTGCTGAGCTGTATCCTTTAGAAGAAACCAGTAAACCTAAGGAAAGCATTTCACTGAGTTCTGTGAGCTGTTCTAGCAAATGATTAAACCTGAAGATAGGGTATTTGGAACCACTGATTTACAGCTGGTCGGTCAGAAGTAAGGGTGGGTAGGACTTTTGACTGGCATCTGAGGCGGGAGCCTTCCTTGGGGACTGAGTCCTTAAATCTGTGGAATCTGATACTAATTGCGGGTAGCTAGTGTCAGGACTGAATTGTCGGACGCCCAGTTGGTGTCTGGAGAAGGAGTTGTTGGTGTCTCAGCTTTGACGCTATTCCCACTCTCCCAGTGGTGGTGGTTGACCCTGTGCAAATGGATGGTACTTATATAATTGTTAGCTTTTCCACTGAAAAGGGCCTGAGGTATAAAGCTGAGGTTGAAATGATGTTCCGTGTCATTCGCTTTAAGAAAGCAGTTACCTGTGTATAAGTTTCAGAGGGATTGCCTTCAAGTGTGTAAAATTAACATTGCAGAGCTTACAGAAATAAGCTTCAGGGAGTTGAAAAATCATTCCCCGAATGTGATGCTGAAAGCATGAGCTGTTACTACCTGCTGATTAACCTAACTAGTCTGCTTACTGGTCCTGTCTCACTGCAGAAGGAACACAGTCAAAGTCACATAAGTCTCTGGAGGAGGAGGGGGTATTGCCTCGATGTTTTGATTTTCCATTTACCAATCCAGCCCCTAAGCTAGTTGCAGGCAGCGTGTGAGCCTTTTTTCCAGCTCTGTCTGAGAGTTCTCAGCATTCTTTATCAGCGACATCCCTGCTAACACAGAAAGGGCCAGTGCATTGCTCCTATTAATATGCTGAAAATATTTGCTTCCGACATCTGTCATTTTGCATAACTCTAGATACAAACCATAGATACCATCTGGGATGTCAGAGCAAAGGGGAATGTGATGGTTTGAAATTCTCTTCCGATTTAATTTCACAGTTTTTAGAATTCTTGTTTTTCTTCCATGATAATCACAGGACAGAATAATGAATAATTCTCCTCTGAGTGAGTGATGAAATTACTACAAATTAAGAAACTGTTATGAATATAATTTACAAATAATTATATGACAGAAGCATGAAAAGTGCAGAACTAATGAAACAAAATTAATTAAAGCTACTGAGAGATCATTTTGGTTTTTATTTATTTGTTTTTGTCACTTCAGGATAGACTCTCCCAAAGTGCTTTACAACACTGAGAACTACAATTCAAAAAGATATCAGGAAGAATATTTTTTAAAAAAAGGATATCTGAAGAACTCGCTCATAAATGTGTATGGCAGATATGTTGGGTTGCATTGCCCGTGGCTCAAGGTATAGGTCTCATCAGAACCTTCTAAAAAACGGAGCTGTCCTAATGTGAAATGTTACATCTATTGACAGGAACATGGGATGGGGGCAAATAAGTTGATGTCTAACCGGTGCTTCCTCATTGGAAGGGACGTCAGAAAAGTAAACAAAATAAGACCTCTGAAAATTATTTCTTCCATAAAAGCGAAGAGGAAACTGGTAAAAATTGTCAGAATATATTTGTCTTTTCAACAAATGGAGCTGGAACAACTGGACATACACATGCGAAGAAACGAACCTAGGCACAGACTTCATCCCCTTCACAAAAATTGAAAATGGATCATAGACCAAAATGTAAAATGAGAAGCTATAAAACTTCTAGAGAATAATGCAAGAGAAAGCCTGGATGACCTTGGGTATGCCTGTGACTTTCTAGATAAAACATCAAAGTCACCATCTATGAAAGAAATTAGCTGGCCTTCATGAAACAAAAACAATTTATGCTCTGTGAACGGCAATATCGAGAGAACGAGAAGACAAGCCACATTCAGGGAGAAAATATTTGCAAAAAGACACATCTGATCAATGATTGTTTCCAAAATATACAAAATACTCTTAAAACTCAACAATAAGAAGACAAAAGCACTGATTAAAGTGGGCCAAAGACCTGAACAGACACCTCACCAAAGAGGATATGCAGATGGCAAGTAAGCATATAAAAAGATGTGCCCCATCATCTGTCATCAGGGAGATGCAAATTAAAACAGCAACATAATTTTCTTTTTAAACTCCGACCACCTTCTAGACTTTATCGGTTATCATGGTTTTTAGCAATTTGACCATAAAGAACCTGGGTGATTTTTTTTTTTTCCCTCCAGCTTGGAATTCTCTGAGTTTCTTGAATCAATGGTTTATTGTCTTGAATTAATTTTGGAAAATTTTCAACCATTATCTCTTCAAATATTTCTTTGTTGCTATTCTCTATCTTTCCCTTCTGGGACTCCGATTTCACATATAGTAGGTTGTTTGATACTGTGCCACAGCTCTTGGTTGCTCTAAGCTTAAAAAAAAATTACTTAGTTTTCTCTTTATGTTTCAGTTTGAGTAATTCCTATGAACCTTCACATTGCTTGACCCCTTTTCAGGTTCTTCCCAGTCTGCTCGTAAGTCCATTATAGGAGTTCTTCCTCTCTGATTTCATGTTTATTTATGCCTAGAATTTGCATTTGCCCTTTTTTATAGTTCTATCTCTCTGCAAGAATTTCCCATTTGTTCGTGCATACTGTCCACATTTTCTGCTGGTTCCTTTAACATATTAATCCTAGTTTTTTTTAAAGACCTTGTTTGATAGTTCCAACTTCTGGGCCATATCTGGATCTAGTTTTGCTGATATGTTTACCTCTTAACAGACTGCTTTTTCTTGTTTGTTTTTCTTTTTGTGTATCTTAGAGTTTGTTGTTGTTGTTTATCAGCTTTTTAAAAATAGACTGTGTTTTGTTTTTTTTAAAGAGGACACTGATGAACTCATCTACAAAATAGAAACAGACTCATCGACATAGTAAACAATCTTAGGCTTCCTGGGGGAAAGGGGTGAGAAGGGAAAAATTTGGGAGTTTGAGACTTGTAAATGTTAACCACTATACATAAAAATAGATTTTAAAAAAATTTCTTCTGTATGGCACAGGGAGCTATATTCAATATCTTGTAATAAGCTTTAATGAAAAACAACATGAAAACAAATATATCTATATATACGCATGACTGGGACATTATGCTGTACACCAGAAATTGACACATTGTAACTGACTATACTTCAATTTTAAAAAAATTTTAAAATATAATACATCTTGAAAATTCAAAAAATTTTACATAGTTTTTTTTAAGAAATTTTAGATTTGCAGCAAAGGAAATTGCTGCATACCCCCTGCCCCCACCCCACACACAGGGGGGCAGCCTCAGTCCCTTTCTGTCCCAGCTCAGTTTGCAAAAGGCTCTGACATGTAATTCTTCTCTATTAGTAAGTGTTCCATTTAGTTTGCTTTCAATGATTAACTGTAAGTCATTTGAAAACACACACAACACAGCTTTCCTCACTATCAGCACCCACCCCCCGGGGGGATGCATTTGTTCTAACTGATGAACCTCCCCTGGCAAACTAGGATCACCCAAAGCCCATAGTTTACATTAGGGTTCACTTTTGGTGTTGTACATGCTACGGGTTTTGAAAGTGCACAAGGACATGTATCTAGCATCGTCGGGTCCTACAGAACAGCTTCTCTCCTCTAAAGATCCTCTGTGCTCCTCCTACTCACCCCTCCCTCCCCACAACTGTTGGCAACCAACCACTGATCCTTTTACTGTTTTATGTTAACCTTTTATGGTTTTGCCTTCTCCAAAATGTCATGTAGCTGGAATCAGACAGTATGGAGCCTTTCAGACAGGCTTCTTTCACTTAGTAATATGCATAAGAGTCTTTCGTGTCTTTTCATGGCTTGATAGTTCCTCTCTTTTTTGTACTAAATCATATCTCACGGTCTGGATTACCAGTTTATTTATCCACTCAACTATTGAAGAACATCCTGGTTTCTTCCAAGTTTGGACAGTTATTAATAAAGCTGCACAAACATCCATGTGCAGATTTGTGTTGGACATAAGTTTTCAAGCCCTTCGAGTAAATTCCAAGGAATGCGATGGCTGTGTTCTATGTTAAGAGTATGTTTAGCTTTGTAGGAAACTGTCAAAACTGTCTTCCAGGGTGACTGGACCGTTTTGCATTTCCACCAGCCATGAAGGAGAATTCCTGTCGCTCCACATTCTCATCAGTGTTTGGTGCTGGCAATGTTCTGGGTTTTTGCCATTCTGATAGGTGTGTGGTGATATCTCATTCCTGTTTCAGTTTGCAATTCCCTAATGACATATGACATTGCGTATCTTTTCATATGCTTATTTGCCATCTGTACATCTTCTGTGGTGAGGTGTTCAGATCTTTTGCCTATTTTCCCCCCTTTCCAATAAACTTTACTGTGCTCGCTTTGGCAGCACATACACTACATGGACTTTACTTCTTAGCACAGTTTTAGGTTCACAGTATGTATTTCAGATTGGCTTTGTTCATTTAGTAAATGTGCATTTAAGATTCCTCCATGTCTTTTCATGGGTTAATAGCTCATTTCTTTTTAGCACTGAGTAATATTCCATTGTCTGTCATAATTTTACATAGTATAATAAATAATGATACTTTAAAAATGGGACATCTTGACCTAACAAGATTTTTCTGGCCTGCTTTTCTGTAAATTCATTGATTAGATCATTGCAAGCTGTACTTTTAGCAATTTCATTTTTCATCACTATAATTGAAAGCAACATCAATCACTCTTGCCAGATGCCAGATCACTAGTAATTTTGGATAATTTTTAATTTTGAGAAAGAAGAAACTATTTCTGGAGCTCTTAAGGGCATTTGTGGTCTGTTAACACCATGATACATTTCTGATAAATTACTTTAAAATATAGGTTAGCACATCTAGAGATTATTATCAAAGAATAATTTTTCTAAAAAAAGGATTTAATTCTTAATACAAAATCGATCTCCTGTAAGTCTGAATTGAGTTGTAAATTTCAAATTACACACTGGCGTTTTAATAGTTTTTCTGGTATCTCCTCTAACTTGTGGAGGTTTTTGAAACTGGCCTCATCATTTTTATGTAACTTCAAACACTAATTTATGCATTCTGAAATTGTATCTTCAATTACAATGAAGATTTAATTTTAAGAATTTTTTCCTCGTTAATACTTGCTTTATTCGGAGCTCCTTATGGAAGTGGTGCTCTTTTCCGTTGAATGCCATGACCTTTAAATTTCATTTCCAAGCCTGTGGATATTTGCTTTGCTTTGCTTTGCAATGTTCCAGCAGTTTTAAAGACTGGAGAGGCTGAACTCTGAGAATTCTAATAGCTTCCTGATAAGCTTCAATGCAACACCCACGTGTATGGTTTCCTTTTGTAATAATTTACTGGCAAACTTTACTGCTTGAGCACCCACAGTTCCTGTCCTGGGGCTCAGGCCGGAGAGCTCATACTTGTGCAGACATTGCAAGGATGGGCTCTGGGGACAGAGGGTCGAGCTGCCTCCCACCCCAGGTGCTGGCAGCCACTCTTTTTCCCTGTGGCTGCAGCTGGTCTGTCTCCACTGCTCCTGCTGCTGCTGCTGCAATTGTCAGCAGCCCCAGTCAGGGCCAAGTCCTGGCCCGGCCACCTTGGGACCCCACTGGGCCCAGACTGTCCCCAAGGCATCCATATGTGTGCTTGGCCATCAAGCCAATTGCTCAGGGCCTGTCCCCTGATATTTCTCTGCTGCTGACATGCATATTCCATTGTCCCTTAGGGCTTCACGTACAAAACACAAATGCAGAGATTAAATTATCAAAAATTTCAAGATGGCACCAGTAGAGCATTAAACCACACACAGTAAGTGAAAGAAACCAGTCACAAAAGACCACATATCAGAGGATTCCATTTATGTGAAACCAAGTCCCAAACTCAGGAAGGCAGGCTTGGCTTTCGCTTGTCTGTTTCCCAGTGTGGCGTCACCTCCCATCAGTAGCACCCAAGGGCCGTTGGAGGTGGCGGCAGGCATCCTTTCCCCTGTGTGACGCCCCCTTCTGCTGTCTCCCAGAGCAGTTACCCCACCTCCTCCGTAGGCTCCCTCCTATGTGGTTGTGCCTGATCTTCTCCATGGACTTGCAAGACTGTTGCTCCACGATGCCAGTGGGCCCTTCCAGTTCAAAGGACCCTTCGCATCAACGTCTTCTCACGCTCATAATCAACAAGCTGCCTGTTTTGCCAGAGAAACGACTCAATTCCTTGCATGAACTGGACCGCTCTTCTCCTCCACCCACGGCCCCTGTGTCCTCTCTATTGGCAGCAGTGGCTTGAAGAGAGGGATGCAGACAACATTCAAAGAGATCACATTCTTACAATGCAGGGATTACAGTCTAAGGAGTGTCAGAGAAGACACGTTTGGATGGTGTGTTGTTCTATGTTTGAAGCTATAACTTCCCAACAGAAAAGCTGACCTGACCAGAATGCAAATTATTGTTCACGTTTTCCTGCATGTTCTGGATAAGACTTGCATTTGTAGTCGTGATCAATGAGGCACTGTAACGACCTTTGAGAGAGTCATTAGAAGCCCAGTGGACGGTGCAGCTTCATGAGTAATGACGTAACCAGCATTAAATACACGGTGTGGGGAGCTGCCGAGGCTGGAGGCCTATGTGGTTCAACACATCCTGGTTCTGTGGAGCCCCGAGTTGTGAGTGCGAACAATGCTGCTAACTTTTTTCATGATGAGATATAAACTTTCTTATTGAGTGTCCACTAGCTGATGAATGTATAACTAAAATGTGTAGTATATCCACACAACAGAATATTATTAATTGGGCAGTAAAAATTAATGAAATACTGACACGTGCAACAACATGGATGAACCTCGGTGAAAAGGACTCAGTCACAGAAGTCCACATAGTGTATAATTCCATTCCTGTGAAATGTCTGGAATAGGGAAGTCTGCACAGACAGAGAGTAGATTAATGGTTGCCTGGGGCTTGAGTAGGGGGGTGGAGTGGGGCATGGAGGAGTGGAGGGAGTGGGGAGTGACATCCAATGGGGACAAGGCTCCTTTTAGAAGGGACAGAAATATTCTAAAATCAGATCATGGCAATGGTTCCCCAACCTGGTAAATGTAACCAAAAAAAAAAAAGAATTTTAAAGGGTGGATTGTATAATATGTGACCAATATCTCGGTAAAACTATACAAATTTTTTGTATTTGGGTTTTAAAGTATTAATGACTTATTACAAATTACAGGCATACCTCATTTTCTCGCACTTCGCAGATAATTGCATTTTCTACGAATTGGACGTTTGTGGCCACCCTGCCTACAGCAAGTCTATCAGCATCATTTTTCTAAAAGCATTAGTTCACTTTGTGTCTCTGTCTCACATTTTGGTAATTCTCGCACTATTTCAGACTTTTTCGTGATCGTTACGTGTGTTACGGTGACCTGTGATCAGTCATCTTTGATGTTACTGTATGATTGTTTTGGGGGAGCCATGAACCACATTCACCTAAGACAGCAAACTTAATTGATAAATGCTGTTTTGACTGTTCCACTAACTGGCTGTTTCCCCATCTCTCCCCCTCTCCTCGGGCCTCCCTATTCTCTGAGACACAACAACATTGAAATTAGGCCCAATAATAACCCTACAATGGCCTCTAAGTATTCAAGTGAAAGGAAGAGCATGTCAGTTGGGCAGACTTCATTGTCGTCTTAAAAAGAAATTGCCGCAGCCCCAACCTTCAGCACCCGCCACCCTGACCAGTCAGAAGCCGTCAACCCCGAGGGAAGACCCTCCATCAGCAAAAAATTATGACTCGCTGAAGGCTCAGATGATGGTTAGCATTGTTAGTAATGAAGTATTTTTAATTAAGATATGGACATTGTTTTTTAGACACAATGCTGTTGCACACTTAATTGACTACAGTATAGTGTAAACATAGCTTTTATATATGCCCTGAGAAACCAAAAAAATTGTGTGTGCCTCACTTTATTACAATGTTTGCTGTATTGTGGTGGTCTGGACCCGAACCTGCAATATCTCCCAGGCCTGCCTGAATAATTTAACTCTAAATATTAGAAGAGTCTCACTTCAGAACTGGGTTACTTAGACTAGTAACTTCAGGCTAAGGCCAGGTTTGTAGTACAGAGCACAACAAATGTAAAAGGCTGAGTTATAAATAGGCTGGTTCTCGAGCTTCTCCCACTCTGTGACTTGCCTCCTGCTTTCCTCCAACATCTGGTCAAATTCTGACGTGAGGATCTCAGCACAGCCGCTGGAACACTGGACGAAAGGAGACTCGTGGCGTGTAGCGTGCCTGGCAACGGAAGCTTATAAATCAAGCTGAAAGGTGGTGAATCCACAAGATTGATGGCTCATGGGAAAATATGCCAACTCAAATGTAAGTTGATACCAAACCAAATGGAGAAGCATCTTCTTACCTAGCACTGCTCCCGCTGTCAGGCGGTCTTTGCGAGAATTCACTGCAGCACGTTCAATTGAAATGGAGTCTCCCATGACTTGACGCTTTCAGGTGCTGCTCAAGACGGTTTCTGACCAGCTTGCAGAAGAGATGGACAGTCTCCAGCACATGCCTTTGGCTGAAACGGCGAAAGGGATTTGAAAAACATTAATTCCGGAGCCCCTTAAAATAGCAATGGGAATATGGGGCCTTCATTTTAACTTCATTTAACCCTTGAGGACAAGAGGCACCCCATGCCTTTACTTAGGGAAGCTTAGCCTGGCTTTAAAAACTTCTGAAAATGATCTGCCAGGGTCACGAATTAGGGATGTTCAACAGATCAGGAATCGTGAATGTCTTTCTCTGTGAGTCTTTTCTTCCCCTCTTCTGTTTCTCTAATGGAAATGGCAGTGGTTGAAATTGCTTCTTGAAATAGCTGGAGTTCCAGCCATCTTTCAGGAATCCCCATTTTCCAGGCAAATTTTGCCTCGTAATCCTAGGTCAAGAGGTCATCTCTCTGCGATGAGACACTCAAGACTGGTTAAGAGCTGACGTCCTCTCGTCTTCTGTTTCCGGCTCACCTCTGGGGGGACTTCTCTTCTGTCTACAGGGTGGCTTTGCGCCTCTTTGTGCTGCCCGGCCTCCCCCCAGGACAGTCAAGACTCATACAAACACCAGCTCTGCTTAAACCGGAAGGGGTCTCCGTGGAACCTCCTGCAGCTCCCTCTGAATCCGCTGGTGTTCTGAATAATGACCTAAGATTTGTTTTCGTTCATGCAGTCCTTCTGCGTTTTATATTCCTGGCATCAGACTTAGGATTTGAAAGATTGCATTTCAAATTCTCACTTTCTCTAGTTGAAAATTGTCTTATGCTATCGAGCACTAGATTGAGTTATTTACTAAGACAGTCTGCTTTTTTTTTAATGGTATATATTTTACTTATTTTCAAAATATTTTATTTATTTATTTATTTACGTATTTAATGGAGGTACTGAGGATTGAGCCCGGGACCTCTCCCATGCTAAAATTAAGCACGTGCTCTACCACTGAGCTATACCCCTGTACTTTCTTTATACACTGTCTCTGACTAGAAACTTAAAAGAGCTGTTTTTCACAGACTCATGTTCCTTCCACCCTGACTTGATTATATTTTAAGGGGTGTTAGACCAACACGTTTTCTGAACTAGGGAACACTAAATCTCCTAAGGCATATATAGAATAGTGAGTGATATTTTACATTTCATGACCAGTTTTTAAAAAGACGGCAGGAGAAGAAGACGTGAGCTGTGGACATGGGAGACAGGGAGACAGAAGGAAAAAGGGTTTTTGGAATCTTGGAGAAGCCAGTGTTCGTCAGACCTCAAAATACCCCAGAACATGAACTAAATGCATCAGCTCTGGGATTTGGAGAAAGAACACAGTTAACTAGATGCTCCCATAAGGCCCTAACATGCAGGTGTCCAACCAGAATCATTCAGTGTTCCTGAGTGAAAGGTACAAGCACTTGGTCCATTCGACATCTTCATTCTAAGAAAACAGGCCTACTGAGAAGGGAGGGTATGTTTAAAAAACAAAGACACTGGACTAGATTAACAAAAGTTTCACGACATTCATTCAGAAAATATTTATTAATGATGTATCACGTGTTAGCACTGTTCGAGGCACTGAAAACACAGCCATGAGCAAAACAGACATAATTCCTGCTCCCAAGGAGCTACAGTTTAGTGGGAAGAGACAGTCAAGTAACCATGGGCTATAAAGAAAGGTTCACAGGAATGGGGGGATAACACGTCATTGGGACGTTTTCTCTTTTCATTGGTGTTTTTTCCTTTCTGTTTGAATTGTCTTCATCTACGATCTCAAATTTCCACAGATGCAAGATTCATTTGGATTACTGTCATATTAGCAGGACGAACATTATTAAAATTCTCTGAGAAGGTGAAGGTCAGATAAGCATCCTTTAGTTGGAGTTTCACAGACTATGGTCTTCCTCCTAATCTATTCATTTATTTATTTTCAGAGGAGGTACTGGGGATTGAACCCAGAACCTCATGCATGCTAAACATGCACTCTACCACTTGAGCCATAACCTCCCTTCTTTCCTCCTAATCTAGATGGCGGTGGATGAGAGTTTTGATTGGTTAGAGGAAACAGAACATTGCAGAGCGTAAAACAGGTATCCGTGGAGTGGTTGCGGGACAGAGGGAGTGGGGGAAATGGACATCTGAGAGCAGAGCGCTGCAGGCAGAGGGGGAGTGAGTGACGATGTGCTCGGGACACAGCGAGCTGGTCCATGTGGCTGTAACAGGATGAGCATAAGAGGAGTGCCAGGAGGAGATGGAACTCGGAGCCAGGTTAAGTGGGGCCTTTTAGGCCGTCATAAGGACTTGGGTTTTACTCTATGATGGGATGCCACTGAAAGACTGATTCACTGAATCTCTTTAGCTGCTTTGTCGAAAATAAACAGAAGGCAAAGGGAACCACCAGGAAGATCGGTTAGGAGGCTGTCCTCACAGCCTACGATCGTCCTCGCAGATGTGATTAATAATGGTCTAGATGAGGTGTGGAGCAGGGGAGCAGCGAGCTGCCCAATGTGTTTTCCAAGGTCAGATGGACAGAATTCGCAGACAAACTTATTTTGGAGTAGAAGAGAACAAAAGGAGTCAAAGATGACTCCAAGATTTTTGGCTTCAGCAGCTAGAAGATGGAATTGCCCTTGACCATGAAGAGGAAGACTAGAAAAGAATAAGTTCATGGCTGGGAGGGAGTATAATAGTCAGGGGCTAACATGTTCTGTTGGAGAGGTCCGTTAGATACGCGAAGGGCAGTGTTGAGAAGGCAGCTGGATATGCAAGTGTGGATAGCAGGGTTCTGTTGCTGGTATTTATTTGGGAGTCATCAGAGTGTCAAGGGTGTTTAAAGCCACCGGACAGGATGAGATCCCCTAGGGAAAGGGTGTAGCTGGAAAAGACTTCTGAAGCCTTCACCTAGGACACTCCGGGATGTGGAGGACAGGAAGAAGGGGCTATCCAACAAAGCAGAATGAGAAGGAACCATTCGCCTCCCATCCAAGTACAAACTAACCAGGCCCGACCCTGCTTAGCTTCTGAGATCAGATGAGCTCGGGTGCGTTCAGGGTGGTATGGCCGTAGAAAGAAGGAACCATCTGTGAGATTGGAGGAGATTCTAGAGTAAGTATACTTTGTACCCTGGAGACCAAGTGGAAAAAAAAAAAAAGCATTGTAAGAAAGAATGATCATTGTGTCAAATGTTGTCAGGAAAAGATAATGACAGAGAACTGACAATCGAATCTGGTAATGTGAAGGCATTTCATTGGAATGCTGGAGACAAAGCCAGGGAAAGAATGGAAGGCCAGAGAGACAAAAACAGACAGCAATTTCGAGTTGTTTCTCCATAAAAATGAACAAAGAAAATGGGATATTACTTGGCAGGGAATGTGGTGCCATTTATTGTCACTGTTTTCTTTTTTTTTTGTCTTCTTTTTTGTTTTTGAGATTAGAAGCATAACAACACTACATGGCAGTAGAAGAGTCCAGCGGACGGGGGAATCACGGATAACTGAGACGGAGGGCATGACTGCAGGAAGGGAGTTCCTGTGCAGGCGCGGAGCGGTTGGCCTTGGCACTGGACAGCCACCCATCATAAGGAGACGGGAGTCAGGCCGACCAGGAGTTCCAGGAGAAATAACGGGCGGAGATCTCCGGTTAACTCAGTGGTTGTTGTCAGTGAAGTGAGAGGTGAGGTCATCACCCTGTGAGTGTGGAGGGAGGAGGGGTCCTGGTGGTTTGAAGAAAGAAGAAAAAGTAGAAAAGGGATCTCGGAGAGTGAAAGAGTAAATTGACTCAGTGAAGCGGGGATGGCTTGGGCTTTGTCACAAACTGAAGGAACGGACGGTCAGCACAGTTGTGTGTTAGTCTAAGCTTCTCTCTAGCCACCCGACTGCAGAAGCCAAGTGGGCTGAGTTGGGTTTAAACAGCGTTGAGAGGTGAGGAAAGAAGCGTGCTGGCTCAGAAGGTTTGCCAGCGGGGGATCAGCTCGATGGGCCAGGAATCTGAGTCCCATAAAGCAGCAAAAGCCAAACTGAGCAGCTGAAAGGTGGGCGGGTTTGATGGGAATGTTTTGGAGGTCCTGGTGGTACTGGAGGTGCTCAGGTCAGAGTGGAGATGGGAGTGAGCCAGATCGATGGGGGGTGGTGGTCAGAGGGTGGGAGGCTGGAAACTGAGAATTTACTCTTGGAGATTCCAATAGTTGCAAAGTCTAACATGACACTGTGTAGGTGGCTGGCTGAGGTGGGATGGAAAATTTGAGGTGAGGAGGTCAAGGCCAAAGTATTGAACAGATTATTTCTGTCAGTGATTTCCAATGTTTTTGCAACTCACTGGATTAACAGACCACTTGTTAAAGTATTTAAGCAGGTCCTGCAAACTCTCTCCCACACTAAGTACTTCACGGAAGTGCTTTCCCACAATCCTAAATGCGCTCCTGTTGGCTCAAGAGGAACAAAGTCTTGTTTCAGATCTTCAAATGACGTGAAAGTGACATGTTAAAAAAAAAAGTTTTTTAATCTCTCGGTTCTGGATAGTTAACAATTTAATCTACTCCTGGAAAGAGAAATCTGATTAATTTAAGATGAATTTTAAAGACTTAAATAGAAAGACAATAATTTAAATCCTTCAATTTCTTTTTCCTTCTCTTAACCAGCTATAGGAAGCTTCTTTATTTTTCATGATGCAATTAGAAAATTTCCAGTAAACTACATCTTAAATTTAGTCAGAATGATCCGGAAGTAACACTAAACTGACGAAGATGTGGAAAATATTTGGTGCGACACTCAAGCACCAGCAGCTCAGAGCCGAAGCTGCTGCAAGCTTTTTGCAGTCAAAACTCTTCCATCACTATTTTACTACAGTTTATAGGCACTTTTTTCAATCTGTGATAATTCACTTTTTTCAAATTGGTGGGAAATAGAAGTTTATAGAAGCTAAAAGGCAAACGTACGCTCTAAAGATCACAGAAGAACCTTTCTGAAATTTGGAGGCTGTTATGTCTCAGGAAGGCACAAAAGTACAATAAAAGTCTGTTGTAAAGGCTGGGAATTGTTAGCTGCCACCACGTCACACCCTGGGTGGGTAAAACAGCAAGTTCTTCCCCCAAAACCATTGCCTCCACTGAGGCCACACGACCCCGTATCACTCGTCTAAAACCTGAGCCCTGGGGGAGAAAGCTAGCCAGTTGGCCCAGCATCGTTGTTCGTACGTGGGAAGTTTCTAAGATTAGTGCACTATATAAATAAGCTAAGGGCCCTGCTCAAATACAGTAATTAGATCTTGCTGCTCAGAGCCAGTAGATAGCAAAACGCTGCTCTTTGAAGACAGTTAAGAACAGGGAAGAAAAGAAAAACTCTACATATTTTTAAAAACCGAAACAATACATTGATGCTCTAAATAATGGAGACTGCTAAATCAAGAACCTACTAGCAAGTGGGTACCTGAGGAAGTTATCTGAAAAATTGTAAGGATTTTTTTGGGGGGGGTACTGTTATGCTGTGCCCCACAATGACTGTAGACAAGGAATCGCTCTCAACTCCTGAAAGTGTGACATTGAGGGGCTGCAAGTTTTTATCCGGAGATCAGAAAAAAACAGACAAAAAGAAAACTCCTGTGGAGTCAGGATAACGTCCGTTACCCTAATAATGAGAGAGAAAGCTGGTCACTACCTTACGGGGTTTACAGAAACCTTAAGTAAGAGGTCTGTTGCATCTGCGTGTCGCTAGATAAATGCCTTGAAATTAAGACAGGTTAGTATTTCTGTCTCATACTTATGGACAAGACCCAGACTGCAGCTTTTAATCTTCTGTTGCTCAAAGTGTTTCCCGGAGTAGCACGCTAAAGCTGTGCTCAAAATTCTCTTTACATCCTTTTGATGACATCATACAGAAAGATGCAATTTGGCATTTACATGTTTTTTACCCTTACTTCGTATTATTTACTAATCACACCTTTTCAAAAAGGGAGGTAGGGTTTGGGCTCTTCTTTCACGGACAATACTACATAGCTGGAATTTAATAAAGTTGCTTTGTTTTCATTGTATTTTTTAATCTTTAACGCACAGAAAGTGATACTAATTTTCCCTTTACCAAAGTGATTGATATGCTCCTTTCTAAAAGTAAGTTGACGTCAAAAAGTGAGTTGTTTTGAAGAAAAGTATAGAGTAAGTAATACTTTTAAATATTAAATTAGAATGGTTTGTGGAAAGGGCAAACATCCATCAGGCTCTTTCTAGTGTCTGACATGTAGCAAAACCCTGCCTACAAGTCTGGTTACCACATACACAAATTAAAAGCTGTTATTTTATTTTTATTTTTTTAAGAGCTATTATTTTATAAACTACCCAATTAGTGAACCTTGTGCCAGAACTCTTTCCTGCGAGTATTATTAAGGGGCATGAATAAAAATCACATTTTTAGGATATCCGTATCTTAAATCACACTTTACAGCTGAACAAACTGCAGGCCAAGGACAGGTGACCTGACTGGGGTCCTGGAGGAGCCACATCTAGAATCCTAGTCCCAACCTCTGCCTTCCCATTCAGGATGTGACAAAGGAGCTTTGGTTGCTCTGACTGATGGAGAGTTTAGGCAGCACAGCAAAGGTAATTGCAAGAAAACTTTTACTTTATTTAAAATAGATTTTGAATGACATCACATGATAAGGACTTGATTCAAAGGCTGAAGAGCGGTCTCGCTTATTTATACCAACTGCTCCTTTAAGGCTCGTTTTCAGGTTGGGGAGATGAGGACAGACCCCTTGGAGGAAGCCACCTGCTGGGTGTATAAAAAGGACAACGGAGCTGCCATTTTCCTGGCTGACAGTGGAGAGGGTTTGAAATTTTAAGTTATTTTGTACAGTCCTCTTTTTCTCACACTTGCATCCAGGCAAAAGAATGAATTCGTTTGAAGTTATGACCAAAAGCTTCAACTGACCCTGTTTTGACCGGGACACTCCCGGTGTCCTGAGTGAGTGTCTCCCCCCTCCTCACACGCACCTTCCACTCCCTCCCGCAGACTTCCAGCACCTTCCCATCTCAGCCCTTCGCTGGGAGCCTGGAAGCTGCTAGAAGAGAACGATCCCATTTTCCCAGCACCAAACTTAGCACGCGATATGCATGGATACCCATTCACTCCGAACCTCAGCACCACTGCGTTAATAGACTTTTGTCTTGTTCTGGTCACTGCTTTATCCTCAGCACCCCAAACAGTGCCCTGGAAATAACAGGTATGCAGTATTTTTGAATAAATGAGTAAAAATACTGCCCGCCCTTCTGACACATGAACTGGAGCTGCCCCTGGGCCTGCTGGACGTTAACCCCTCGTAGTCCTGGCTGTCTCTCCTTGCCCGCTCAGATGTCACGCCTGCAATCACCACTCCGCCTCCAGCTCTCATCTGTCCCCTTCTGATGGAATATTCCAGTCAGCATATAATCATGCGACTTCCTCCTTAGGAGTTCGAATCCTCCCTTAGCTCACCTGCCCCGTCTTCCGTTCCCCTTTACATGGAACCGTGAGCTGTCCGCAGCTGCTGCCTCTGCTTCCACCCGCTCCTGCTCCTAATCCTCTCCAACCAACCCTTCATCCCAGACCCCGCAGCCGGTTAAACTTAACGGTCCTCAGCTTACTTGGGCGGTGCTTGAGATCACTCCCTTCTTGAAACACTTTCTTCACTTCTACTGCTGGTGTGCCACGTTGCCCTGGTTTATCTCACTGAGGGACCTCCCAGTCTCCTCTGCTGGCTCCTTCCCCACTTACACGTTGCACTGCAAGGCCGGCGCCCCCCTCCTCTGCATCCGCACCAGCTTCTCCTCAAAATGTGGGTCCCTGAACCGGCAGCATCAGCACCACTGAGGAACCTGTTAGAAATGTAGGATCTCAGGCCCCAGGCCAGAACTACTGAATCAGAATCTGCATCTTCAGAAAACTAGGTGATGCACATGCACCTCAAAATGGGAGAAGCACTGATCTACTTACATGAGTGATTTCAGGCAAATGGCTTTCAATTCCCTTCATAAGCTGAATTCCCAATGTTTTATCTCCTGTCTTTTCCCTTAACTTCAGTCCCTCACCGCCATGTTGGGGCCTCCCAGACCTAAATGCAAAACAGAAATCTTAATTTTTTTTCCTCACTCAAGCCAAAAGCCCGAGTCATCCTTGCCATCCCTTTGCTTTCCACTTTCTGTACCTCTAAACACCAGCAGTCCTACGAGTGACTCGCCACCACTTCCACTGTTACCACCCTCGTCTCAGCCAGCAATCTTTTTGGGGCAGACTTCTGAAAGAGCCTCTAGAGTGTCTGGTCCAGGAACAGGGACTTTTCCTTTTCTTCACCCATCACTACTTAGAACAGTGCCTAGCACACAAGAGCACCCGAGTATCGAGTCTTCAAGCGTTGCTGGTAGAACTTTTGGGGGCAGGGGACAGACTCTCAGAGAAATGTCAGCACTCATGAGTGTTTCAGGGCCACACACATCTGGATGTGGCGAACCCGTTAGCAGTTTTCAATAGATTCAACGTCTCATAATACGGCAGTGGTCCTACAACTCTTCTGTCCGTTACAATCACCTGGGGATCTTTTAAAAATTCTAATATTTAAACTACATTCCAAATGAATTAGATCACAATTGCTGGGGGTGGGACACAGGTTATCAGTTTTTCAGAAGCTCTTGAAGTAATTCCAATGTGAGACAAGTTTGGGAATCACAGGTATAGAGTATGAGTTGGCAAGCATGATATGAACTAGTACGTGAGATCTATGATACTTAAGAAAAGAAATGCCAGTCATAATGTTTATGCAAATGTAAGACTTCTATTTCCTGTGTGGTACAGAAAACAAGAAGTATTTCTTAAACTGTTTCAAACATTAGGTCTTAAAGAGAACACATCTTTCAAGACGTTCCATGTTTGTTTTCCTGTCAAGCCTAGTCCAAATTTGGGGACTTCTATTGGTAGGTTCATTTTCCCCCCATATGCTGAGGAAAATTTATGTACGAAGGTGCCAACCTCTATGTAAGTCTCATCTGAAAGCTTTGGGGGCTTTGCACATACTGATATTTTTAACGGTATCAGGTAAACAGCTCTATCCTGGTAACAAGGATATAATCACTAAGACAAAATGCTGTATTCTCAAGAGAGAAAAGGATTTCTTCACAACTCAGTATTTCTTGCTCTAGAGATAATATAATCAACTCTGGTCATCAGTCAAAATATCCTTAGGATGGAAGCTAATCAAATATTGTGCAATTACCTGCCTCTAAGCTTGCCTTTAAACTGTCTTCATACCTCAGAATGAAGGACAAAATTAATGAGAGAAAACCAAAGTCAAAAAATTTGATTATTAAAATCCTCACTACAGTGTAAACACGGCAGATTTGGAAAGAACCTTGGAGAAAGCTAAGCCAACTGTATACTACAGAAAAAGGGCCTGACACCGAGATGGGGTGAAATAACATGCCTAAAACTCACACAGGAGAGCTAGAAGAGAAAAAAACATTTTTTTTCCTTTTTTTTCAAACAAGCAGACAGGATTTTTCACACATTAATCAAAAAGAATGAAGATCATTAAATTAGGAAGAAATGAGGAATAAAAAGTATGTTACACATAGATTTTAAGGACTAGTTAATCCGCTCCCCCCCACCCCTGAAAAACGGAAAAATTCTCCAAATATATGGACATATATCCATCAAGCTGCTTACCCTTAAAATATTCCAATCTTGGAAAATTCAATTTACAAATACATTATTAATTGCATTGTGATAATGAAATTGGTTCATTAAACGTGAAGACAAACAGCACCAATACCAGGAAGTTAATAAAGTAAATACACTATTACTTAAAATAATATATAATCACTGATTGGGACAGAAATGAATTACAGCCACTCGCAAAACTGTTTAAACTACTGTTTGACATAAAGGCGGTATTTAAAGACTAGTATGTGCTCTTTTCCCGCTGACAGGCCAATGGCTAGGCAGCCAGCAGTGGGTCAACATGACACTATTAAATAAGATGCATTTTTTAAATCGCTCAACCTTGAACCATGATACTGCATAACCAAATTTTGCCAATCTAAGCCAATGGCGGCATTTTTGGTAGTCTTAACTGCTCCTACTTGTCCCAGTTAAAACAAAACAACTCCCTTATTAAGCACTAGATTAAATGTAGCTATGAAGCAGCAGCCAGGCGTTTATAAATGGGCTACTGCCAGCGTATCAAAATGCTACTAAGGAAAAATACAGCAGCAAATACTCTAATAAGAGCACATTATTCCACATGGAATCCCGAATTATTCTTATCTCTAGTTCCTTAAATTCTTGGAAGACTAGAGATGAACAAGTGTATGTAGAAATGGGGCCAGGGAGAAAGCAGCTCTGAGTGATGTAGTGTTCCTTTTTAAAATTACCCAAGATAATCTAAATGCTTACAGAGAACTCCAGCCTGTATCTAAATTTTTTTCAAGCACGTAGAACAAAAATGCTAGCAAAACTTTGGTGTTTACCCCAAAATCAGCATTGCAGTTTTCAGTGAAAATGAAATAGGCATGGTTTGTGAAGTTTTTATCATGTTCACGCCACCCTTCCCTATCCCCTGCTCCTTCCGTCAGGTGATCTGAAGACTACCTGCTTTAAAATATTTGGTAACTCAGTGCAGAAAATTAAGGTCACAGACAAAGTACAACAACTTTTAATACACCATTAATACTAATGATTAAAAATTATTGCATAGTCTTATGCATTTACCCTAAAACATTTTCTCAAAGTAAATTCTGAAAGAATTATATAAAAGACAAATAACCCTTTAAAATGTGCATGGCCTTTACTACCTCGATCTTCTATCCTTTTTTGTCTTTTCAGTACTTTTGTCCATCGTTTTCTCATTATCTCCCCTGCACTTTGGGCAGTACCATTTCCCCTTTGGTTTATAGGTAAGTGAAACACATGAAAAGTGAAACCATTCAATTGGACACTGTTCATTGTCACATCCGATCATTTCCCCGTAAGACACTTGGTTACATAAACAATATGTAGGTTCATTGGGATCTATTGCAAACTCAACAGGTGAAGCTTCCCTCTCCTGCTTGGCCTTGGAGCGCTTCTTCTTCTTGGCTGACTTGGATTTCTTTTCTTTAGGTGGCTGATCGTCACAGTCTTCAATTCCATTCGTCATGTGACACAAATCACGGCTCTCACTGGTCCGCTGTCGGCGGGGTCTTCTCGAAGACCGCTCTGGTTGGCTGGACTCCATCTTTGCTTTATCTGAGGATCGTTCCCCTTCGGCGGGGTCTTGGAAACACTGTGAATGCAGCTCCATCTGTCTTGCCCGATTTTCCACCAATTCGAGCATTTGTGTGACGATCTGAATTTTTTCATCTCCCAATTCTTGACTATTGATTAATGCTCTCTGGAGATGCTGCTGGAGGCGTTTTTTCTGGCTTGAATCATCTTCTTTCTTATATTTTTCATAGACATCATCAATTTCCTTTAATGTTTCTAAAAATGGAAAAGAAAAATCAGGCTATTGTGTGTTGGCGCATGTATAACGTTTCTCAAGGTAGCTATTTTTCACAGAACTGATGCAGTTAGAATGAACTCAAACCATAAAACCACACTCCTTCATAGTATGAATGCATTAAAAACATTTTATTTCCCATACAAAGACCACATATTATCCAGTATAAAAGTATGTTTAGAAAAGAATGAACACAAACTCTCTAATATTCACTATTCTATATTAGAAAGGAGAAGAGATGTGTGGCTAATCAAGCCTTTTACACAGGCTGGAACCCTCTCTGCCCCTTCAGAGTCCACTGAGTGTAGTATCTCCTATACTTCAGTTGACCCTTAAAACAACCCTGTCTATAAAATTTCCATGCTGGGCTCTGGTCATAAAACTTGAAAACAGTGCAAGGACTAGGCTACAGATGACCATCCAGTTGTCCTTACAGGATTCACAATTCAATCAGTGAGCTGCTATGTGACTCCAGACACTAGACCTTTACTTTCCTATCACCCCCTGGACATTCTTAAGCAAAGCTGACACAGAGAACCCTTCATTTCCCATCATATGAGTTCTAATGGCTCTTTTATTTCATCACAAGGGAGAGTCTGAAAATCAAACTATTTCCAGAGCAGATGCAGGTTCAGGTTCTGGCATCAAACTGACTAAGCTACTAACGAAATTATAGTCAAGTCAGCATCGGACCACTGTGCTTTTGTAGATAACTCAGCAGTTGGTACTAAGCTTTCTGAACTGCTGATTTAGGTATTGTATAGCATGTGGGACACACTTAAATCAATTTAAAATGGCTGAGTCATTAGAAGCTATATAAAAATCTGAAAATGAAGTTCTAGATGTCACCAAAAATTTACCTAAGTTTCTTATTCACATCTGTTCTATTTCTTATCCTTGAGATATAATGCTGTCTGAGTTCTGTCTTAGTAAAGGTGGAGAAAGTTAATTTTTATATTCACTCTAAGTTATCACAGCACATGCCGTACCACTGTATTATCTTCCAGTATCATTACTGAAGGATAAGAACAGAGATGTTAGATGAGTAAAGTGCATACACTGGGGGTATCTGCAAGCAAGGGAACACGGAGCAAGTATTCAACACAATTTATGAATTAGCTCCTCCCTGGAAACTGTAGGTATTCACACTTGATGGACAACGACTTAACCTGGCGTACATGACAATGCGCCACTATACATTTGAGGGTACTCATACCTGCCTAGCATATTTTTAAGTAAAGCTCACATCAAGCCCATTTGTCCAGCTAGGTATGTAAGCGGGTATTATAAGAATGCACTTTTCCTCCAAGAAAAATAAGGAAATTATATATTTTTCCCTCAGACACACAAAATTTGAGGTTTAAAAAATAAAGGCAAATCTTCAAATATTTCAAATCTAATAATCAGAAATTAGAAGCTAAATATATTATTTCATACCAGCAGACTGATACTATACATGAGGAAAAATATTCACAATTTTAAGACATCTTAATCATGGAGTGAAAGAAGAAAGGAAACGAACACTTACTGAGCCCCTTCTACGTGATCTCGCACTAAACCCCACAGCAATGCCACGAGGAAGCCATCGCTTCCAGATTGGAAGAAAATGAAGCTCAACAGGTAACAACCCCAGACTTTGAACTCTGCCAGATGTGTAGGTCTGGCTCTGGCATCAAAGCACTTTCTACTCAGCTGCATGGAAGCACTTGAAATTGAGCATTAAATTTTACTTCAAAGGTTATTTACCTAAAAAATTATGAACAAGAATATTGGAACAAAAATTGAGGTTCTTTAATAGCCATTTCCCATAATATATACTTTATTCAACTGTGAAATTGTTTTCTTCATTTCTCTGACTTTAAAAAATTTTAAGGCTACTTTTAAGGTTCTTTAGTAATTTCCAAAGTGTCTCAAATAGGTAGGAAATTTCTTTCACTGCCTATATAATTTATATCACAAAATACTTCTATAGGTATTAGCTCTAAAAACAGAAAATACTTAAGACCTAGCAAAAAAAAAATAGAAAACATGAAACATAAACCAAGAAAACACAAGTATATAAAGCTAGTAGCTGGAGACTATGAAAGTTGAGTTTAGTAAGTATGTGCACGAGTAAAAATTAAATCATTGTTTTTATATTATGCTTGAAAATGAAGTACAATCTAAATGGGACAAAAAAAATTTATAATCTCTTGATCTTTTCACACCTAATACTGTTTCTCATGTTACCAAAACTACTTCTGTCATTTCTAGGTGGTCAAGATGCAGATCTCCCTGTAACAAATTGTTCCTCCCCAATTCAAATGAAAAGAAAATAGGTTAACTTTTGTGAAGGCAAACATATCTTTAAAGAAATGTAAAAACCAGCAAGCTGTATGAACTTATTATTATTTGAAAAACAAAAAAATGTTAAACATACAATTCTTAAGCACCATGTAACATTTTAAAGTAACAATTCATGTATGTGCTCCATGTCTATCTACAAAAAATACCTTTGGAGAGCTTTTCTTCCCCCTTTTTTTTTAATTCTTATTTTTTATTGAAGTGTAGTCAATTTACAGTATTAGCTTCAGGTAAGCAAAGCGATTCAGTTATACATATACATACATACATACATACTTTTTTTTTTCCAGTTTTTTTCCATTATGGCTCATTACAAGAAACTGATATAGTTCCCTGTGCTATACAGTAAGTCCTAGTTGTTTATTTTATATGGAGAGCTTTTATTAAAAAAAATTTAGTTTAAAAACAAGGATGTGCACCTGAAGTAGCCAAATCTGTGGAGTTAAACATTCCCCACCTAACTGAACAAGTTAGCTGAACTCCTTGTAAAATTGTATTTGTCTTCAAAATGAATTTTTACTTTACTGGGTTAAGATTAAATGAGATAATGTTCTGGATCTGGTACAGCAATTAATAATACAGTAATTAATCTGTACTAATTCGCTTCCCACCAACAGAGATCAGTCCTCTCAATCATATGGGTTCAAAAGGCAGAAATAAAGTATAGATTAAAAAAAACACAGGCACTTAAATGTTCTAACATGTTAAGGCCCAAAAATATCACCCACAACTGGGTTCCTCAAGAGATTAAATCATAGGATGAGTGACGTGTCTATAAACACAGAATGCGTCCAAGAAGTTAATTTTTTAAAGCCCATATGGCTGATTCCACATTATGCCCTAAGTCTGTTCCTTGATTCAGGGTTATTAAAAGCAAACGGCTCTGCATTTAAACTACTCCCCTCCCAGTAGCAGGCGCAAGGGCCTCCAACGGTAAATAATAAATAATACTGTTAGGAAGGTTGAGTCCCTGTCCCGGCTTCCTGGGTCTGATCACAAAGGGCGGCTTCTGCCTCATCACTGAAACTTGGCGGAGGACGGACCCAGGAGTTAAGGGACGCCAAGCGGTTGCCCAGTCAACCAGCTCACAGCCTCCAGGAGCCCGGAAGTGACGCAAGGCCCGGAACCTACGCGAGGCCAGGGTCAGCGAGGATTCCAGTAGCTGTGTCTTCGTCGTGATCGAGGATTGGGGAAAAGTCGAGAATCACAATAAACATGTCCCAAATCCTAACACTAACTCTGCTGAGGATGAGCTAACGTCCCAAACGGCTCCGACCCCCTCCCAACCAGCCAGCTTCGCCAAATCCTTCCCGCGACCAGCCATCTTCCAGACGGGCGGGAGCGCGCGCGTCGGCGCCCCGCCCAAGTCCTACGTCACGGCCGCAGGCCCCGCCCCGAGGGCGGGGGGGTGCCTCCCCGCCACACACACCCCTCTTCTTTCCCCCGCAGGGACCCCCAGCCTTTTAACCATTCGTTTGAAGGAGCTGGGAAAGGCTGCGGCCCGGAACTTTCCCTGGGGCAGCGGAGGGGAAGGGACTCCTCCGTTCCCGAGCCGGAGAGCCGAGGGAGGGACCTCCCCGGAGTCCGCCTTCCCAGCCCTCTCTCGCCCCCTCCCCCCTGCACGTTCCAATGCATCTGCTCTCAGGGGATGGGGGGCCCAAGGAGGGTGGGGAGAGCCAGGCCCCCGAGACCAGCAGAAGTCCGGCGGCCGGCCGCTCACTCCCCGCAGTCCCCGCCCGGCTTCACGCTCCCTGCCAGGGCAGGAGGGTCTGCGGCACCGGGCAGGCAAGCACCGGAACAAATGCTTGCTGCTTAAAATGGCTGATTCCCCTCCACACCAGCTGCAGCCGCTGGGTCTGCAGCGGAGGCTGACGAGCGGCCCCCAACCCCCACCCTCGAGACCCCAGAGAAGTCCTCACCGACCGCAGCGGGGGAAGGGAGGGCCGCGAACCCGGTCTCCTGCCCCGCTCCCCCGTCCCACACACCAGACCCCTCTGTGCACTTGGGGAGACTGACACAGGAGAAATGAAAAGTGGCACTTCCCTGGGCAGGCTCCGAGCGACCGTGCCCGGCGGCCAGCGGACCCGAGTAGGGGAGGAGCCACACCGGCAGCCCCGCGGCCCCCTACCTTGGTATTTGTTGTCCAGCTCTCGCAGCACGGACACGTTCCTCTGCATGTCGTGGGGCAGCGACTCCACACACTCGAGGTAGTCCTGCACGTAGCAGGTGAGGAGCCGGCTCCGCTCCCCGGTCAGGAGCGCGGCCGACGAGTATAGTTGCTGCTGCTGCTGCCCTAACATCCTGCCGCCGGAGCGCGGCCGACGAGTATAGTTGCTGCTGCTGCTGCCCTAACATCCTGCCGCCGCTGCTGCTCCTCGCCGCCGCCGCCGCCGCCGCCTCCGCATCCAGCAGCCACACATGCAACAGTCACGGCCGCCGCGGCTCCTCTGCTCCGCAGCCGGGCGCCGCGGGGACACCGGCAGCCGCTCAGGAGGGCACAGCCGAGTCCCCCGATCTCCACTCCCCCCAAAAGAAGCCTTCACTCCCCGCCCCCGCGGTAACAAGCCCAGGGGCGGGGCGAGATCAGGACTCTCTCCTTTTCCTCCTCCCTCCCCAGGACTAGAGCAGCGGGGATCCCCCCAGCGGAGCTGGCGTCGGGGTCCCGGGCGTTGACACTTCCTGTCCCCTTCGGAGTCCTCAGATGCTACCAATGCCGTCTCGCAGCTCGGATCCCCATGACAAGCCTCTCGCTGCCCCCTCTCCTCCCAATCACCCTCCGTGCCTGTCGTAGAGTCTCTCACTGGACTGCCCCCGCCCCTCCGGCGGCGGCCGCCTCTGCGCCTGCGCAGGACTCCCTCCTAATAAGGCCTGGGGCCCGCCCCTACCGCCCTACCGAAGGGTTCGCATTCTCCCGCCTTCCCTCCGCCACCCGGGCGATTGGTCTGTCAACTCTCGGCCCGCGGGGAGGGTGCGGAGGGCGGCCAAACGGCAGGCTGCGCCCCGCCCCCTCTTAAAGGAGAAGCACTGTCCAGCCCGCCCCTTTGCTCGGTGTCCGAATGGGACTTGCGGGGACTGGTGGCTGACTCCCTCCTTCCGTCCTTCCCCCAGGGAGGGGGAAGCCAGGCCCAGCTCCCCGGCCCTGGGTTACCGACTCTTTCCCCATCAGGTGGATCTGGCGCGGCCCCTCGCCAGCCTTAAAAGGAACCTGCGGACGCTTTCCGCCGCAGCCCGGAGGGAGG